GTATTATGGGAGACTTTGGGGAAAAGGCAAAGGACAGGAGAAAGGAAGGGGGGGGGGAGAGAATGAACAAAGATACCAAATGGATATCCACATAGGTTGGCTAGATAAATTAGCCATGGAGATGGAAGGTCCTCGTTTATTCTACAGCAGGGATATCCAAACTTGGCAACTTTTAAGCTTTGTGGACTCCAATTCCCAGAATTTCCCAGCCAGCATTCTGGGAGTTGGTTCGCAAGTCTTAAAGTTGCCAAGTTTGGAGACCCCAGTTCCTAGAACTTCGATGCTGCCCAGAATGTCTTTTACTCTCAGCCCAATGAGCTTAAGCCAGAAGAGTCAATGGGATTTTTTTTCCTTTCTTTTTTCCCAGGTTCAAATTGGGTATGTCTAAGTCTACTGAAAAGAAGGACTAGGAATGACCTGATAGCAGTATTCCAATATTTGAGGGGCTGCCACAAAGAAGAGGGGGGTTAACTTATTTTCCAAAGCACCAGAAGGCAAATGTCCTGCCAGTGAAAAAAAATAACCAGTGGAATGGCTTGCCTTTGGAACTTGTGGGTGCTCCATCACTGGAGATTTTTAAGAAGAGATCGGACAGCCATTTGTCTGGGATGCTGTAGGGTTTCCTGCTTGAGCAGGGGGTTGGACTAGAAGACCTCCAAGGTCCCTTCCAACTCTGTGTTTCTGTTATTCTGATTTCTGGGGCCCTCTAATAGGAGTTAGATGTTGACAAATTTGATCTAATGGGAAGTGAATATTTTTTTAATATTCATGTATGAGATTCTAGCCTCTTGTACAGAAACTCAAGACAGCAGATATGGTTCTCCCTTCTCCTGTCCTTCACTACAACAAAGAGTATCTTTTTGAGGGAGATGGCGGTTCCAAAATGTGAAAAATTAATTAATATCATGTCTGTCTGTCTGCCTATCTATCATCGTCTGTCTATCTCCCTCCTATCATTTACCTCTTATGTATATCCAGCCATCTACACAAGACAAACCGTGTGGCATGGATTAACGCACAAACACAAAACTTTTTTTTTAACTTGAAGAATGCCACTGCGTTCCTTAGGGCCCAAAAGACTTTTAAAAATTGTTTCAGAAAGTCACAAAGACCCAATCACATAAAAGAGCCAGCCAAGGAACAAAACTCATGCACTGCTGTCTGTCTTCCCTCTCTGACAAAAGCACCTTTTGGGGGATCCATCCAGGCAAGAAAAGAAGATCAGTTCAGGCTGGGGGTTGGGGGTTCATTCGCCCAAGAGGGGAGAAAAAAGAAGTAATTTCTCTCTGCTGCATCCGCCAAATAGGAACCTCCCCCGTTCATTTCTAAACAGAGAAGCATTCAACCACCGACATGCTCTGTTCTAAACGCACGGAGATAATCTAGGAACATTGCAAGAACACCAAGAAAAGCAGATTAGTTTTATACCTGAGGCCATTTTTCAATATAGGGAATGAGCATTCTCAGCCTCGCTTCTAAAGCATCTTTTATAAACTGGTCTGTCTTCTTCTTCCTTTCAAAAGAGAAGAATTATTTAGTGCAATTCGCTCTTGCCTGTCTCTCGGGCTCAAGGTCTGTACTCAAAGAGGCCAAGACAGGTTACCTGCCGAAGCACCGTTCCGGAGTAACCTCCCTGGGCTCAGTGCAACTGCCATCCCACGCATTGCTGTTTAGATGGTTAATGTAGCAGCGCCCCTTCCCTTGCTCTGCCTGGGACTTACTCCAGTTGACCAAGCTGTACCAGCTTGTGCTGTTCCTCAAGAAGTTCGGTGAGTCTGGAGTTACTCTGGGACACGAAGTGGAGAATCAGTTCGCTGCCATCACTGTGAAAGAGTCCTGCTGCGGCAACAGAGAGCCCTACGGACTGAAGGGAGGAAAAAGGTTGAGTAGACCGTGGCCTGGGGCCCCCTGAGCTAAGCTAAAGCACCCATCCCTCTGGGTCTCTTAACATGCTGCTTCTCTTAATACGAACCTTAGCCCCTTCTGCAATTGCATCCATTGTCCAGCCATGGGTGGGTACAAATTTTAGAGCTGCTGTCAGGATCCGACTCTGTAGCTGCTCCTCACTCTCGTAGCCCTCTGATTGTTCACCACCCTGATCTGTGTAACTGGGGGTAAAAACACAGGAAGGCATGTCTTACAAGCACTTTTAAACACTAAAAAGTCCAAAGCTTTTATTATTTTTCCTAATTGTAACTGATGCCATCATGAAACCGTGCATGCCTTTGTTTGATAAATGGTTAAGATACGGTTTGTTTAGACACAGTATTTTTGGCTACAACATTACTGGCAGCTTTGATAAAAAGGTTTAAGACATACATCAAATAAACTACGTTATGACTTAGCATTTGTGTAAAGCTAGCCAGCATTTATCTATGAATGTTTATAAGTGCATGGATAGCACGCCCAATCATTTTAATGATGTGCAGTACACAAAATTGCTCAGTTGTCCATTTGGATGTTGCTTGTAACATCCTCAGAGCAAGATGGAAGAATGCCAGCTACTAAATTACTCACTAAAACATTATACTTTCTCAAAGCCAAGAATTGCCACTTTAGGGAAAGAAGAAAGCTCACAGTCATTCTGGACAGAAATTATGCAGATTACCTAGGGGGTGAGCCTGGATGCTTTTCATCCACGGGAGAAGATGCTGAATGTGGAGGATTGGGAGGTGGGAAGGGGGGCTGTTTCTGTTCTTCTGAAGCTCTTTGCAGCGCCACTGCAGGATGGAAGGTCCGCTGAGATTGATACAGCTGGCTTCTAAAGACTGAAAACAGAAATTAGTTGAGTAACACACAAATCTAATGAATCATCTTGTATGCTGTGAAGGCCCCCTTATACATTTCAGAATTCAAAGCCTACAAAAGACCTATGCACAAAATCATGCTACCTAAGAATAAGACATATGTACACCCTTTACAAAATATGTCACTGGTAGGCCAGACAAGTATTGTTTAAAAATCCAAGTCTTCTTTCATAACGTGCGAAAGAAAGTTATCTAATAAAGGCTACTTCCCTCTAATGACTTACAAATGATGCTGGCAATTATCTAGAAAACCATAACCCCATTAAAATATTCTTTCTCCTTGACTGTTGATTATGTGCCATCAAGTCAGCATCACCTCCAGGCAATCTCCAAGATGATTGGTCTTCAACCTGATCCCTCAAGTCTTCTAGCAGTGCATGCACTGCTACTGTGATTGAGTCCATCTACCTTGTTGTTGTTTCTCCTCTCCCTTCTCCCTCATCCCATCTTTCACCATGTTATATACTTTTTCAAGGAGGTGGGTCTTTGTATAATGTGTCTGAAAAATGTGAGCTTGGTCATGTGTGCCTCAAGGAAGAATTCTGGATCAATGCTTGTTCAATTATCCATTTGTTTGCTTTCTTGGCTGCTCATGAAATTCTCAGGCGTCTTCTCCAATATTAACGTTCAAAGACATCAATGCAGAGAATGGTGAGGATGGCTGAAAAGATTATTGGCAGTTCCATCCCAGGACATAGCACATAAGCATTGCTTGAGCAGGGTCCGCAGGATTGTCTGGGACACTACACATCCATATTCAGTTACAGTTTTGTTCCATACAGTATTACCTTGTGAACTCTCAAGCTTCCTCCTTCCGTTATGTATTCAAGATGGACAGTGATTAATATTTATGTTACTTATATGTAGGTATATGTTACTTATATGTAGGTATATATATATATATATATATATATATATGTGTGTGTGTGTGTGTGTGTGTGTTTATAGTAGGTTTAAATGTGTGTTATGTATGTGTGCCCTTTGAGAGCAAGCAACTAAATTTCATTTTTAATGTGTGCCATTGTGCCTGTTTTTTTCTTCCATTCAGTCATGTCAGAGAGAGAAACAGAAACAGATTTTCTTTGAGTCTGTGATGTTATTTATGACCATGTTGTTTTATTGAAGGGTTATGCTTATTAGCTTTAACCCTGTTGCCATTCTGAAAATCTGTAAGCCTCTTAGAGATGAGGCGACTGAAGCCTAATAGGATCAATGAATGAATGAATGGAATAAAGCATTGGGCACACACTGCCATTTTGCATTCTCATGGCATCCAAATTCAGGAGTGAAAATTGCAAGAAAAATCAGGCAATCCAAGGCCAGACTTTGCTCCAAGACTTTGCTCCTTCCGTGGGCAGCAAACACCAGGAGGAGAGAAGATCCACCGGCACCAAGAGAGGGAACCGTCGGAGCTCGACTCCCATCCCCAGAATCTCTCACAAGCTGCTGGCTGGGACTTATGGGTATTCCAGTCCAGGCTGTCAAGAGGATCAGGGCTCAAGAGCGTCTTGGTTGCCCAAAGTTGCAAAGGGGATTCTCTATCCAACCTACCGCACAGGAGCAGAGGGGCACCCCTCCCACGGGGAACTATGTGGATTATGGGCCCTACAGTCGCCTCGGCCGTGGATGATAGGGGGTGCAATCCCACTGGCCCCGCCCCGGATCCCTTCAAGAAGGCATCCTACGTTGATGTATGCAAATGAGCCGGGCCGAAGGGCCTCCCTCGCCCTTCACCTCACCTTCCCTTCCTCCCGCCTGAACTGCGGGGCGCCCGGTCCCGCCTCTCCCGGAGCGGAGGAAGCCAAGAGCCTCCTCCGCCCCGGCCCGAGCCCCGATCTCCCCCCGAGCACCTCACCCGCCGGGCAGCGCAGCAGCCCCCGGGCCGATCGCCTCAGCCCCGCCGCGGCCGCCGCCATCTTTGAGTCGGGCGACGAGCGGGGCGGCCAAAGGAGGCGGGGCGAACCGCCGCGGGCGCCATCTAAGAAGCGGGGTCTGGGCGTGACCGCCTCGGGCAGGGGGAGGGGGAGGAGGGAGCGAGGCGCCCGCGATAGGCTAAGGCCTCCCGGCTTCCCCCGCGTGCGGTCTCCACCCAACCGGAGCTCATTTTGAACTCCGGTGCCGTAAGCGCCATCTTTGAAGCGGGGTCGAGGGGGCGGGAGCAGCTTTCCCACCGGCGCTCCGCCGCCATCTTTGAAAAGGGCAGACCCAGCTGAGGAGAAAAGCAGGACGGCTGCCGGGCCGAAAAGCACGAGGGGCGACCGGTAGGCGAGGGCGGAGCGGGGAGGCTTTCCCGGCGGGGCCGTTGCGCCGAGGAGGCCTTTTCCTTCTCGTCTTTTCTGTGGGAGCCCAAGGGACTGTCCGAGACCCCCGCACAACCACCCTGAGAGGTGGGCCGGGCAACGCGCGCCCTCAGCGGTTAGGACGACCGTGCGGGCCCTCTTAATCCCCCGCTCGGCCTTGTTTTCCTCAGGATTTCCAACGTGTTTTTAACGGTTGCTCTCTGGGCTGGGAAGGAGAGGGTCGAGGTCTGTCTTTGGGGCCGGGGGGGTGTGTGTTTGAATCTCGCTACGAACGCGTCAGTTTTGGTTTTTAGAAACCTTAACATAAAAAAAATGGAAAAGCCTTATTTTTCACGCAATCCCCCCTCCCCCCAATCCGATAAGAAGAGTGACCTTGCTTTAAATTTTGGAGAAAAAATATTCAACATCTGGTAAATAATTTTGATTTCACAGAGCCCTTGGGGGGGACTTGGGGGAACCTCCCGGGGGTCCTCGAGGCCCAGCTTAAAGAAATGCTGCGCTAGAGAATTTAAAGATGACGTCATTTAAATGTTTAATTTAAAGATGGCCAAGGTGGGACTTGAACTCACGCTCTCCCGCTTTCTGGGCTGGTGCCTTAATCACTAGACTAGGGGGGTCTCCATCCTTGGCGGCTTTAAAGATTTGTGGACTTCAACTCCCAGAATTCCCCAGCCAGCCATGCTGCTGGGGAATTCTGGGAGTTGAAGTCCACAAATCTGGCTGGGGAATTCTGGGAGTTGAAGTCCACAAGTCACCAACTTTGGGGACCCCTGCACCAGACCAAACTGGCTATTTCCCTTCTTATTTTCCTACATTTTAGGCATGTTCCTGGAACTAGGCTTGGCTGAAGGAAAAGGAGGGGGACAAGGAGTTGGGGAGAGGGTTTAATGCCCTGTTTCTCTGTTGCTTTTGTATAAGGCAGCCCCTTCCCTCCTCACCCCTTAGTTGGTGCCCGTACATTAACTATGATGCCTTGCCTACTGTTGTCCAGAAAGAAAATTCAAAATAATGGCTTATTACAATAGATTATGCTATTAAAGGTCAAATGTAATGGAATTCTTAAGGCATGTTTAATTATCTGTTATAGAGCCAATATCTATAATAAAACATGTATTGCACTGCTGTTAGCTGACTTCCCAGAATGCAGAGACAGTTTTTATATTAATCTATTGCTGGCTGGTCACTATGATTCTGCATCCTTGGCAGTGATCAAATTCTGCTCTCAAGGTCAGGGATCAGATTCTGACCCAGCAACATAAATACTTTATTCTTGAATAAGTATTGCAGAGCGTTTTCTTTCTATCGGGCTTTTGTGCTGTGTTCTGTAAGGCTTCGTTTTTACTGTTTTAGTTTTTGGGCTATGATTTTACATTGAATAAACAAACATACTTATCACATCACCCCCTTGCATGCACAAGACATAATAAAGACAGAACAAAAAAGGAAATACAGCTAAAACTATTTTACACTGGCACTTATATTGCGTATAATGGCAAAAATGCCATTTTGGGGGCACTGAAAAAGAATTGAGCAGTTTCCAACATATATCCTTGTTGTCATCCTCTTGCAATTACTGTTAACACAGGTATAGCTCTATCCCCTTAAACCTCCATTTGCATATAAAACAGGCTTTCTGTGTTAAACAGCACAGCTTTATAGGAATAGTTAAGAATAATTATTGTAGTTGACCCAGATTGGATCTTGCAAACCCGTTTATTTGTTTATATTTCATATTAATGGCCTGTCTCCCTCGGATTTTCTCATTTCTGAGAAAATATAATTGAAAAATATTCAATTCCTCAAGATGATGCCTTCTAAATTTAAGGTTTTTTTTGAATGCACTCAGAGTTCCTCAAAAATATTGTATTAATTTGAACCTTTATTTGCTACATTTTGTCTTTTTTATTTTAGGGAACAGTGTCTGCTTTCTTTCAGATCTTGAATTAATTCCAACATGGCAGAGTACGGGATCTCTCTCGGTGAACAAGTGGCTGTGGTTTGCGATAGTTACGCCTCTCCCGAGGCACTCCAGAAATTTGTCCAGGATGTTCAAGCAGTTATTGGAGCTGAAAGTCATATTTCTGTAGAAAACGTCAATCAGCTGCTTTACTGTGAGTGTTCAGAAGTATTTGTTATCACGGTAAATATGTTTTAGTTAAAGATAACATGTTCCATTTATAAAGGACAATTCTTCATTATTGTTAATACATTAGAAAACTTGTGCTTATCTCTATGCATGATGGTACTTGGTTAATGACTGCCCTGTTTAATGACCGTTCAAAGTTATGATGTCCCTAATGAGGAGACATAGCAAGTCTTTGAACTTGTGACTGCCAAAGTATCCCTGCTACCACGTGATTGAGATTTGAACACTTGGCAACCAGTCCACATTTACGACTGTCGCCACATCCTACAGTCATGTGACTGCTATTTTTGCACTTCATAGCTGGCTTCCAACAAGCAAAGTCTAAAGAAGCCGGCAGTCTCACTGCAAGTTGCAGTCACATGATGTCCCACTTAATGACTGTCAATGACTTGCTTAACATTAGCAAAAATGATGTAAGTTGGCATAGTCACATGGTGTTTCACTTACAACCATGTTGCACAGTTAATGGTTATGAAATGAGTACTTGTAGTTAACAGGTAAAAACTGCTCAGACACTGTGTGTTGAGATTATTCCTTTAGTCTAGGACAGCAGAGAGAACTCCACAAAGTTTTCCAGCATTGCCACTTGGAAGCACTTTTCCAAAGTCATTCTGACTCCACAAACAGTGGAGTTGTATCTAATTCATCAGCGACTACAGCAGTGTTTTTTGAACTGGGCAACTTTAAGCTGTTTAAACTTCAACTCCCAGAATTCCCCAGCTAGCATGATGGGCACGCGCATATACTTAAACTGGTAAGTAGGTACATGTATATGCCTACCATTTTATTTTCTCAGCGTCCCACAAAGAGTCCAGCTTTGATGTGGTTCTATCGGGGCTGGTTCCTGGCAGTCTAACGCAGCACAGTGCAGAGGTGCTTGCTGAAATAGCTCGGATTGTGAAGCCTGGAGGTCGTGTCCTTTTGAAAGAAGCAGTGACCACCGAAGCAGGTAAGCTTTTAGTCCTTCTCTCACCTTTGTCCATTAATTGGGCCTCTATTCATCTAATCCACCCTCACTTTTATACCTGTGGAGAATAAAGGCCAGTACAGAGTTGGCTGATTTAAAAATACTTGTATTTAAAACGTGGGGGTACCGGGGGGGGGAACCCTTTGGGGGGAGAAATGTACTCCAAAAGGTCATTTCTTCTTGAGTTTAGCCCAACGTTTGATGGTTACCTGGATACATCCATGGAGTTTTCTTAACAATATCCTGCAAGTGGGCTACAATTGTCTCTTCCAAGACATGTTTTTGGCTTCCCAGTTCAGCCTCAATAACCCTAGGATTTACTGGAAAATCCCTTCCAAAGAACAGCCAGGTGTGACTTTCATTAGTTTTTGGGCCAAACAGAATTAATCTAATGCTGTCACTGGCTGAGACCATGTGTAGCCCAGGATGCACCTGTTTGAAGAGGGGTAGTGTTTAATTTTACCCAGTCACAAGCCCCCATTCTGGACAGCGAGAAACAGCTTTTGAAATAGCTCTTGCTGTTACTATCTGGCTCCAAAACTGCACCCCTACTGATTTCACCTCTCCTAAGTTCCATCTCCTGTAATTCTGTGGCTATTTTTTTTATTTCTTTTTATTTCTATTTTAAGAAAATAGTAAATTGTGAAAGTACATAAGAGAAGCCTGATCCTATTGCATTCCTTTATTAAATCAATGTATTCTATCAGGAATGATTTGGGAAAAAATCTCAGGTTCTTTTTTCTCCTCATAACTTACTTTTATTTATGGATATTGGCTACATGTTGTATTTCTCAGGTAATGACAAACTCAAGACAGTAAGCAAACTACAAACAATCGCAACACTCTCTGGATTGGTTGAAGTAAAAGAGGTAAGCATTTTGATGTTGAGTTTTCAAGAGATTGTTATAAAAGACTACGGTTTAAAGAGGCCTTTATGCGGCTGTTCAAAAATACAGCTTTATAAAACTGTTTGATAGAAGTATATATAAAATATGCAATATAGCAACCTTATAATCTCATATCATACTTCGAAGGAAATAACAAAATACATTTGAGAAGCAAAAGATTGGGTTTGCCTAGTGAATAAGCAAAAATGCCTCTGGAAAAATCTTCCTTTAATAAGGGAGTCTTATTTTGTTTGTAATTAGCCACCATGAATAATAATTAGCACTTGTTCAGGTCTTCCCTGGCTGGATGGATTAACCAGTAAAGTAACTTGTTTTTTCCCCTTGCTATCCAGCTGCAGAAGGACGCTTTAAGCTCAGAACAAATTCAGGCTATCCAGAAGCATCTGGATCTGCAATGCAATGAAATTCTTGCAGTTCAGTTAGAAGGCAAAAAGCCTAATTTTGAGGTTGGATCTGCAAGTCAGCTCAAGCTTTCCACTGTCAAGAAATCAACAACTGGTAAGAAAAACAGAGATACTTTGTCTTCTCAGATCTTCTCCCCCCCCCCCCCCCAGGTTTCCTTAAGCACATCAGTAGTAATCATCCTAAGTATGGGTAAATTGAGATTCAATGTATACCCCACCATTAATTTGTCCATATCAAGGCAGTAAATATAATCCTCCCACCTCCTATTTTCCCCACAACCACCACCTTGTAAAGTGGGTTGGGTTAAGAGAATTGACTAGCCCAATGTCACCCAGATGGTTCAACGCCTAAGGGATGACTACAACTCCCAGTCTCCCAGTCCAGCACCTTCACCTCCATACCAAACTAGTTCTCAAAAGCCTGGTCCTTTGGCTGTTGATTAACAGGTCCTATCTCAATTATAGATCTCATTTGAGTCTTTTCAGAGGAAAAGAATAATACTGATCAGACTTCCCATGATTATAATTTTTTGTTTAAATGGACCATTAAAGAATACATTGTCTTCCAAAATCTTAGCTCTGAGGTATCAAAAATCCCCCGGATGATTTCATATCATAGGACAGAAGAATTTTTGAGGCTTATCACATCATCTTTACAATTGTGTTCTCTGTGGTTGTTTCAGAAAAACCAAAGGTGGATCCCACGGCTGCAAAACTCTGGACTCTTTCAGCCAACGACATGGATGATGAGGACGTGGTAGGTTGTAAAACTCACTTAACAAATGTCTCACCTAACAATAGAAATTTTGGGCTCAATTGTGGTTGTAAGTTGAGGACTACCTGTACAGGCATCTTTGCTTCCTGTAGATCAAGGATTGTTTTGGGATTTGTTTTCTATGGGTCCTTATTGTCTTCAGGATCTCCTGGATTCAGATGAGCTTCTGGTTCCTGAGGATTTGAAAAAGCCAGATCCAGCATCTCTCAAAGCACCTACTTGTAAGGAATCTGGAAAGAGGAAAGCCTGTAAGAATTGGTGAGTGTTAAATGTTGCAGAGAAAAATGCATCTAGAAAATAGAGACTAGATTGCAATCTTGTGAAAACCACCTAAATCAGGGTTTCTTAAATTGGCAATTTTAAGATGTCTGGACTTCAAGTCCCAGGATTTCCCAGACAGAATGAATTCTTGGAATTGAAGCCCACACACCTTAAAATTGCCACGTTTGAGAAACCCTGATTTAAATTATTCTTAACAATGGGGTGAAGATATTTATTTGGGGTTAAATGAGGAGTTGGATTTGTTTAAATACTAGTTGACCCATAATCCATTGGATTATCCTTTCCAAGATGCTTGCTTAAAGCGATAACAGTGACAAAAAGCAGGGGGAACTGGAATGAGTTCTGACTTCCTACCAGCTTCCCCATTAACTTTGTTTGTGGAAAGGTTGCTGGAATATCAGAAACCACAATCATGTAACCACGGGGATGCTGCAACAGCCACAATTTTGACAATGAATGTAATCCCTGACTTACAACATTTCATTTAGTGACCAGTCAAAGTTACAGCGGCACTGAAAAAAGTGACATGACCATTTTTCACATTTATGACCATTGCAGCATTCCCAGGTGATCAAAATTCGGTTGCTTGGCAATTGACTCATATTTATGATGGTTGCAGTGTCCCGGGGTCAGAAGATTTTGCAATCTTCTGACAAGCAAAGTCAATGGGGAAGCCAGAGTCCCTTAACAACTGCATTACTAACTGATTCACGTGGCAAGAAAGGTCATAAAATAGGGCAAAACTCACTTAACAAATGTCTCACTTAGCAACATAAATTTTGGGCTCAATTGTGGGTCGTACGTCAAGGACTACCTGTACAACTTTGAAATTTGTACAGTCCTTGAAATTTCAATCCCATGGGAGTAATGAGTCCTTGATTTTGGATGCATTCTTTAAGTTAGCCCTCTTGGGCTATCTTGATTCAAAAATTGTTGTGCTACAATGCACCATTTCACACCATTGAAGGTTACAACAAAGAGACTGGAGAATTTTAATAGTACATACATTGACAACGTTAAATTGGCAATTCTTGGAGTTTTCCTCTTTTGAAAACAAATGAGCAAAAAAGAAAGAAGGAAAGACAGATATGTGTAGATGTTTCCTCTGGCAGAGAGGATTTGCAAGGACAAGGCAGTCTTCAGTGTTTCTTCATGCTTGTTAAACTTACCGCATCTCTTTCCTCTGCAGCACCTGCGGCCTTGCTGAAGAACTAGAGCAGGAGGAGAGAAGCGCACAGCCAAAGTCTGCCTGTGGCAATGTAAAAGCTTTGCTTCCTGTCTTGATCCAGACATTATTTAGTCCAACAGCAGTTAGAATATAATGCCCAGCTACATGTCCTAGACTAGCAGGGATAGGCAACCTTGGCTCTTTTATGACTCGTGGACTTCAGCTCCCAGAAATCCTGAGCCAGCTTGGCTGGCTCAGGAATTCTGGGAGTTGAAGTCCACGAGTCATAAAAGAGCCAAGGTTGCCTACCCTGAGTGATAATTTATAGAATAAGGATTTTCATTAATGAAAAAAATAGGCCATTGCTCATTTTTTATTCGTTGCTTTTATGTATTTTTAGTAAGTAGGAAATATGGAGGAAATGCTATTTTAGAAAATGCTATTTATTTTCTCACAGAAGGAAATGCCTTTCCCGTTAGAATGCTCCCAGATTAATTTTTGTTTTTAACAGAGATGCTGGGCTTGATTCATTCACAAGTTTGATTGAGGGCATTTCAAACAGTTGACTAGATGTTTTTAAAGTTATCATTCTTTTGACGTGAGGAATTGGCAGCCAGCATCCACATTCATCATCTGCATACGTGACACGCATATTAGAGCATGGTGGATTTTGGATCTTGCTGCTGTAACACAATATAGATCCAAGAGAGCAGGTTCAGGATTACACACCCTTCTCCGTGTGGAGAGGCATCTGGAGGCATCGATCAGCTGATACAGCAGCTGTGTGACAGTGTTCCTCCCATTCCTTATCTAGCTGGATTATTCATTTTAGTTATCAAATTTAATAGAGGTGCCTGTCCCCAGTTTACTTTTTGATATTCAGCAAAAAATGCCCACTGGCTAAAATGTGTTCACTTAACGACTGTGGTATTCACTTAAGACCTGCTCTGTTTCCTTATTGACCCCAACATTTGCTTAGTGTCCACCACAAAAGTTGTAAAATCAGGCATGGTCAAAGTGAATTGGCACCAGATAGGAGTCAATGGACTTCAAGTGGGGGGGGGGAGACTGGACTTAGGACCTAGGTCTCTTTCAGGGTCGCAGAGGTTCCAAACTGGTGATGTGTTTGACCCCCCACACACACACTCGGGCTCAGCCTGGTTATCTCCTACAATTAAGGGCATCAGTCGCCCTGAAGGCTGGCTGCTCTTTGCCTGGTGGTTTTGCCTTCTTCAGATGCCACTTCTGTTTCTCTCTAGTGCTACCTGGGGGACGCCTTCCGCTGCGCCAGCTGCCCTTACCGAGGCATGCCAGCCTTTAAGCCTGGTGAGAAAATCCTCCTGAGCGAAAACAACCTTCAGGATTCCTGAAAGAAGAGCAGCAACTCACAGCTTCCTGGGTGGTGCTTCATGGTTTGGACACAACAGGCAGTTTCTCTAATAAAGAGGAAGGAAGCCTGGACTTGGTGGGGGATTCAAACAAATAGGTGGACCAACGCGGGCTGTGTTCCAGACTCCCTTCTCAGTTGGGATCGCTTTCAGGACTCCTCGCTTTCCACCCCTTGATTGTCATTTCTTTGAAAAGTTTGCCTCTAGATTTTGGCTGTTGTCACACGCCCTGCAGACAAAAAGGTCTGGCTAGTAATCAGCATCAGCCCTGGAGCTACCCAGAATTTAAGAGTGCAACCTTATCTTACTGGGCCATTTACTTTGCCTACAGAATGCGGCTTTGTCAAACCCCAAACAGTGGGTCGGGGTGGGTGGTGTTGGCTTCTACTCAAAACTGCACAGTATGTCTTCATTCCCAGTTTTGTGCCAACGAGAGGATGGGAGGAGTCAAAATTAAACTTCTGAAACTCTGACGTTACTTTTGTTTTACTTTGGCGCACAAAGGTCTTGATCGCTGAGAACTTTTATGCAGATGTCACTATTCCAGGTCTTTTTTTAAAGAAAACTTGAGAGTCCAGATTGCTGGAAATACTGTCTCAGAAGTGACTGTAGTAAAAAGTTTAATCTGAAACTGTTTCAGAGGTTTCTACAATCTGGAGTTTGATGTCTGTTGAGTGGAGATTATGGAGCATTAGAGCAGCAAGTTGGTTGGCTGGCTGGCTGATTAATTATGGCAGATTGTAAGGGATCAGTCTATATACCAAAGGAGATTAATTTATTAGAGGGTTCAAATTATTGCAGAATGTCCTTCATTTCCATTGCTAGCAAAATAATGCTAGCTTAGAGCCTCACATGGGAGGAGGGAGGCAGATATTCAAGTTGGCTTTAAAAAAGACCAGGAAACACACAAAAAAAGTATTTCTGATGCACACTGAATAATTGAAAAAGCCAACAAACACACACACACACAAATCACCATCTGCTTCGTTGACTATAGAAATGCCTTCTGTTGTATTGATCCTGACAAATGTGGAAGATCCTTAGCAAAACGGGAATCCCACAATATCTCGTCGTCCTCACATGAGACCCGTACACGTGTCAGGAAATCACATTCCAGATGGAAGAAGGTGAACATGGCTGCCTCCAGGTCTCCTAGAGCAGGGGTAGGCAACCTTGGCTCTTTTATGACTCGTGGCAACCTGTCCACACAAACAAGCAAAGCCCCATCCGCGGGATGCAGGCAGCACACAAAATCACATACTCTCCGGTCCATGGAAAAACCTTTCTCCACGGAACCGGTCCCTGGTGCCCAAGAGGTTAGGGACTTCTGATTTAGAGTATAAATAGCCCCAAGCATATATTAACCCAACACTGAAAAAAGCAGGCACTACAGTAACAGTTTAAAATTAATTCATTTTTTTCATATTACTATCACTGTATTTGCCAGCACAAAGCAAGATACCCGGAGCAGGACAAAAAAATCATCCTTCTCAACTGCCAAAGTGCCAGTGTCACCCTGGATAACCTGGCAAGTGCCGTAAGTAAAGAGTTCACCATGTAGTATGGGAGAAATCCTGAACTTTAATCAAACCATTGGCAACACTCATCTGATCTTGGCTGGACTCCAAGTAAAGCTTAAAAAAAATATATCCCCAAAGGAAACAGACAATTTTGGAAATATTGCCAAGGAAACTGGAGTTATCCGAGGTGAGCTTGGCTTTAAAAATATGCACTTGGTTTTTTTCCAATTTTCCAAGCATTCATTAGATACTCCTGGTACATTTATTTTTTTATCTTCTCATTCTTTGCAACTCCCCTTTTCCAAATTAATTGTGTTAGCGATGATACAAGTGCTGGCCAATACTGTAAATGGGGGGGGGGGGTGTCCAATCTTGGCAACTTTTAAGACTTGTAGACTTCAACTCCCAGAAGTCCCTAGCCAGCAGGAAATCCCACTGCCCCAAATCATGAGACGAAAAATGCACTCGTTCACAAGATTTAGCTGGGATTTTATTAGCCAAAATACCAACGCTAGAATCAGAAACCTCAATAGAAAAATAAAAACCAGTATTGGGAGATTTAGGCTCCCTCTGTACAAAGATTGATTTGCATATGCTGCAGCGGTCAGTGGCATGCAAACACGGTGGGCATTTGCTGACAAGAAGGGTTAAAATGCAAAGGAAATTGCTGCCAGGAAGGAGTCCCTCAGCCCCTCCTTTAAACCCAGTTTGTGGGGGCTCCTAACAAGCCTCCACCACTGCATGAAGGGGTGTGTGTGTGTGTGAGACCCTTCTTCCATTGCAGGTCAACGTGTTCACGTTCGCGAGTGGCGATATTTGGTCAAGGCAGTTAACAGAACATCCAGTCCTGTTCTTACATTTGGATGAGTTGAGAGCTTATTTTTTTCAAGTTTCACCAAACTCCCTGCTGCTGGGTAATAATGAGATTGCAGATTTAATTCTCCCTGACTGGGTTGATCCTTTTGTCTTTCCTGCTCACTAAAGCTAGGGTTCCAACCGCCGCCGAGTGCAGGCAAGTGGATTCAGGAGGCAGAGGAAAAAGGACAAGCCTCGTCCAAGCATCTGCCTCAAGCAGCAGGTTAGACAGGCCTGGCAAAACTAAAGTGAAAAGTATAAAATAAGAGAGCAATTTGCCCAAGGAAGGAAGATAATCGAGCTGGGGTGATCACGGTCAACCAGCTCATTTCTAAGCATCGAAAGCTACAGGAGTTTGAATGATCACGATGTTTTCTGAAATTCTGGCCACTTAATCATGATCCATACATTAAAAAATGAGAACAATCACATATTTTAAAGCCTCGGCCGTTTAAAAATGTATTGATGGGGCAACCTTTCAAGAGCTGTAAGATGCACTTAAAATAGGGGTGGGGGCACAGGGGGTGGGAGTATGGCAAAGCAGGAAGAGCCATATCACCTGTGAGGGGAGGTGAGCTTGCCTGGGGGGTGCTTTTCAGCTGTGTTAAGCCTATTTTAAGATACAAATCACATTTTTTGCATGTGTCCTTTCTTAAAATGGTAAAAAAAGCACACACACACCCCCTCATTTTTGACCATGGCAATTGGAAGAATGCTTTGCAGTGATAAAAATGGAGGGGGGGGGAGACCGCTTGCAGGTGGCCTGCCTGTGACCCAGAGCACTTATTTCTTTAAAAAAAGGATTAATCAACCTCAGAGGAAAATGGGTTTCAGAAGCCACCCTGATAATCATCCAGGAGACTCCACAAGAATTGAGGTGGGGAGGAGTGGGGTGTTTCAGGGAGAGAGGGATGGTGTCAAATTCCTGATAAATGAGGAAGTCTAAACACGTATGTCTCACCTGAGCACTAAAGGACATGTCCTCCCTCCCAGCGAATGAATCCTGTCATGCCCTTGGGGTAAATAGTCTGGCTTCTGCCTCCATGAGGCAGACTGGGGAGCTCCTGGGCAGCAGTGTGTGGCTGCCCCTGAGAGAGGGCACTGATGGGATCCAAGACTGAATCCCAGGAAGGAGGGCAATGTTGCCCAGGCACTTGTGGGGTCCCCAAAGCAATCGGAGCCTCTGCCTGCAGGGAATGGAGGACAAGCATATCCAAAAGGGCAGCCCCCTTTCCTTTCTTCCCTCCCTTTTGTACATTTCCCAAGGTTCCTCTGCGAGTCCTCCAGATGCCAATTAAAAGAGCCTCCCAGCTTTCAAAGTGCACGTCTGGGTCTTGCCTCCACTCCTCCGTCCCCTGCAGTAAACCTGCCCGCAGAATCCCATTGCAAATACGTCCTGCGCGCTTGAGGTAGCAGTGAAGAACTTTCCTTCTTAGTCTGAGCACGAACAGGGAGGCCGAATGCTTCCCATCGGAGGGGGCAGGTTGATGCGGCTAATTGGGGCTGCCTCCCCTTCCCCTTCTTGCCTAGGAAAGGCTTCAAACCATCAGGGTGAAGCCCCCTCCCCCCCCCAGTAGGAACCCCACTCAGCCAAGTTGTTTCAGGTAACACCAAAAGTTCTCGCCATCTCCTTTGTTCTCTGGACTCAAATCGGCATCACTCTCCTGACCTAAACCAGATATGCAAACTTAAAACAAAACCCCAGAAACGCTCAGGTTGGCACTTCAGGTTACAAAAATGTCACCAATTATAAACACAGACCCAGAGCCTGAACGCTTGTTCACCAACAGCGGTGAGTGTGAACGTTTTCACATTTCCCTGTGGGTCACCCGCTTCTTATTCTTAGCCCGAGGACAATCCAGTGCAGACACTGAAAGCAGCCAAGTCAGTGCTGGGATGATGATGATGTGCAGAAGGACCCACAATCCTCTTGACTGTCTTTGGCTGGCTGGCCTTAGATGAGGGAGGTCCTTCAGGGAGACCACTTGCCTCAATCCAGGACAAGGTTTCTTCTGAACCAGTCAACCTCAGCTAAGCGAAGCTGTTGCAAAGCTCTCTTGCTTTCAAAAGGTATTGCACAGAACTACTTTGTGGTGATTCTCACGCTTTTGAATCTCCTGGTCCATGATTCCCAAGCGACACCCCTCCGGGTGGTCTTCCAGGGCCAAGGGGGAAGGGGCTAAAGAGTAGCCAAAATCCGTAAGAAGGAAATCACCACCACGCAGAAGGTCTGTGCCACTCCCCAAGTCAGAGCCTCAACGGGGATCATCTTCTTCCCAGCAGCTCGGTAGACCCCGGCAATCACAGCACCTGTAGAGGAAGAGGGGAAAAGAACACCTTCATTGGGCTGGGACATACTTTGAGGGGGGGGGGATTTCTCCCTGTTCCCAAAAGGTAGTTCTCCACCTATAACCATAACTCAGCCCACAATTTCAGTTGTAAGTCATAAAGCAGATTGCCACATGACCAGAGCCTATTTGACAAGCTTTTTCTGAGGAGGTTGTAAAGCAAAGGCCCAGTTGTTAAGCACACCTATTATTCATTAGGGCAGGAGTAGGCAACCTTGGCTCTTTTATGACTATGCTGGGAGTTGAACTCCACGAGTCATAAAAGAGCCAAGGTTGCCTTCCCCTGCACTAGGGGGTGTTTTTTGCTGAAAATCAGAAGTAAATTTCTGGCAAAAAATGTAATAAATCACAGTCATGTGATCAATATTTGGGCACTTGGCAACTGGCATGCATGTATGTGGGATCCTGGGCTTGTAGGATAGCCCCTGGACACCTTCCCAGTTGGCTTCCAACCGATGAAGTCAACAAGGGAAGCTTAACGACTGGGAGATTCACTGCAGTGATTCGCTTAATAACCCTGGCCAAACAAAGTCATAAAATCAGGCCTCACTCATTTAAGAACTGCCTCGTTTAGCAATGGCAGTGATGGTTGTAAGTTAAGCTGTAGTATCATCGGACTTAAGCCAGACTTTTCCCCTGCTAGGATCCAGAACTCCATCCAACAAATTCTGCCAGAATTCACCTACTTGTTAAGGTCCCGGCAGCTAATGGCCCAACGATGCCCATCAGGAAGATGCTGACTGGCATGAACCTGCCGTATCGGTGCCTCCGGAGAGTGAAAAGAGCCAGCAGTCCTGCAGGGATGTGGAAGAAGAGAGACGATGCCAGTGCCCACAGGAAGACTCCATACCACATCTCTGCAGTGGGAGAGGAGGGAAGAACAGCTCAGAAGGACAACCTGGGAATGGCTTCCGCCAATAATCCCCCCCCCCGGTGGCAAAGATCAAGCCATTGCTCCAAAGTGGCAGCATAATTAGTACAGAAGCCTTTCTTAGCTGGAGCCCTCCAACGGTTTGAAACTGGCAGCTTCCAGAAGAGCTGGGAATTCAAGAAGGTGGAGCTACCAGGTGGAGGAGATTTGCTCTGCAGGTACTCCGCATTCCAGTCAGGTAAGACCAGTTTCTCTCAAACCGTGGCAACTTCAAGATGGGTGCACCTCAACTCCCAGAATTCCCCAGCCAGCATTTACAGCTCTTTGCAGCATCCTGCGGTCCTGTTATTGCATTTTATGACAGTTCTGTCAGCAAAAACACACCCGTCGCAAACCGTGGGATCCCTTAACCGTTGCTGCGATTGCTTAATGGCCGCTGCAAAAAAGCTGTAAAATTGGGTCAGTCTCATGACAGATCTATTTTATGACTGGCGTGGCTTAGAATCATAATGGGCAGGCTCCATTAAGCTCATAAGCTGAGAACTACCTTTACGTCTCTCCTGGTACCTCACCTTTAGTGAGCCACTTTGGCATATAGGTAGTCCTCAGTTAACAATGGCAATTGGGACTGAAATTCCCATCACTAAGCAATGTGGTTTGTAAAGTGCAACATCTCGCGACTGCTCCGCTTAGCGATGCCAAACCTGGCAGGCTCAGTACCATCGCTAAGCAAAGTTTGTGGGTCATTAAGTGAGGAGCGGTTGACTTCCTGCCGGCTTTCCACAAAGTCAGTGGGGAACTTCCAGTGTTGGCGCATTCACCGCTTCTGGAGGCTGGCTGTTCCACTGGTTAATTGTTCTAACTGTCAGGAAGTTTCTCCTGAGTTCTAGGCTGCTTCTCTCCTTGATTCATGGTGTGTGTGTGTGTGTGTGTGTGTGTGTATGGGAACAAGGGAAAAGTTAACCATACGCTTTGGGCGCGAAAACCCCAGATCCAGCTTTGCTTCTTCTGTATCCACTTGGCTTTAGTAAAGAGCCCCTTCGGCCCGGGAGTCTCTCTTTTCTACCTGACTGAGCCGGGGCGCGAAGGCTGGGCAGGTGGCAGCCGCTTCCAGAAGGGCCAGGCAGGTGAGCCCAGCTGGGGGCGGGGCAAAGAACACCTGGGGGCGGGGCAGTGCAGGGTGGCCAAAGGGCAGAGGTGGGGGAGAGGGGGAACTGAAGCACATCCAGCAGTGTCAACGCTGTTTGTGACAACTGCCCCCAAACAAGACACTCCACACCTCGGACAAAGTTTGATTTTAAGGCTCCCGCGGCGGGTGTTGGGGGGCTTCTAACAAGACGCCCTCCAGCTCTCGTGACTCCAACACCCATGATTCCCAGCGGACGAGAGTGGGCGGGTTTCTGCCAGGGAAGACCCCCCTCCCCTCGGCAACGGGCTCGGCTTTGCCCGTTCGGTGCGGAGGCCCAGCTGTGTCTCCAGAGCTCTGGGCTCCAGCTCCAGCTCAGCCCCCGGCAGGAGATGGTGGGCGCTGTAGTCCCCCAAGCCCTCGAGGGCTCCCCGCTCCTACCTGAGAAGTGGCAGAGCGCGGCGGCGCAGGCGCCGGTGGTGGCGTTGCCCGTGCGCGGGGTCAAGCGGAGGCTCAGGATCTGCTGCCAGAGACCGCCCGAGTCGGGAGGCGACGCGCCGCCGCCGCCTTCCGCCATCCCGCCGCCGCCGCCTCAGCCGCGGCATCCCGTCGCCGAAGCCAGAGAGGGGCGCGCCCAGAGCGGTGCCAGTCGCACTTCCGGTAAGGACGCTTTCGCCCGTGCCTGGTTGTGGCCTCTCTAGGATCGTAGCGTTCTATGGTTACCTTTTTTTTTCTTTCCCCCGCTTGGATAGGTCGAGGGAAAACTACACTTCCCAGAAGCCCTTTTCGGCTGTTGGAGAGGGACGCGGGGAGCCGGAGCTCACGGACGGCTGGAAGGTCATCCGCAATGCATTCCTTAACCCGCAAAGGCCTGCCAGGCTCTCGTAGCCTTTGCCATCTGAATCCTCCCAGGCTTTCTGGCTCTCAACTAGCCCAAAACGCGTTCTTTGGCAAGTTTGACCGATCTGTCGCGCGAGTCTAGGCGTGATTATCCGAGTCTCGAATGTTTCACGCCTGGATCGGTCAAATATTCAAATGACGTTCCAACAATCAACTCTTCGAGTCCACCAAAGACGTTTTTCCACAGGCTTCTTCTGTAGGGTCAGCAGTACTTCCGGCAGAAAGGACGGGGGGGCGTGTGCTTCCGGGTCCTCGCCTCACGACGCGGGGCGTGATCTGTGAGGTTGGAGTCGCGCAGGAAGAGCCATGTCGGACTCGGAGGATTTTTCGTCGGGGGAGGACGAGGATTACCTGCCCTCAGGTGGGACGCCCGGCCTCCCTCGGGGAGAGCGGGCGGGCGGGCGGGCGCTTTGGGCAGGCGGGGCTGGACGGTGAGGCCTCCGGGTCCAGGCCGGTGGTTCCGAACATCCGGGCTACGTGCTGAGGGCGTCACGTGACAGCGGCCCGGCACCGCTTCGGATGGGCAATTCCAACGCGGGTTCCTGGAGGGGGGGCGAGGACGGGAGGGCGCGCCGTTGTGTCGCCCCAAAGGGAAGGCCAGCACTGCCGGGAAGGCGTTGGGCTGCAGACCCGCGTCTGCTTTCAGGGCCGCTGCCTGGAATGGATCCGCGTTTCTCGGAAACTTTAAGGCAGGCGGACTTCAACTCCCAGAATTCCCCAGCCCAGCAAAGCCCTTAAAGTGGCCAAGCTTTGCTGGCTGGGGAATTCTGGGAGTTGAAGTCCCCCTGCCTTAAAGTGGCCAAGCTTGGGTTGGGCTGAGAGAGTGATTGACCCAAAGTCACCCAGCCGATTGTCATGCTAAGGCGGAACTAGAACTCTCTGTCTCCTGGTGATTGACCCAAAGTCACCCAAGCAGCTTTCACGCCTAAGGCAGGACTAGAACTCTCCATCTCCTGATGATTGGCCTAAAGTCACCCAGGCGCTTCTCATGCCTTAAGGTGCAACTAGAACTCACAGGCTCCTGGTTTCTAGGCACCTTCACCAATAGACCAATGCTTCTTTTGAGGTTGGCATTGAGTCTCCAGCAGCTGCCAGCCACATACGTCCTTATTGCTGTCGTTCTCATACTTTAAATGACCAGGAGGGAGAAAGAAACCAAGAAACAGCCTTTTTCCAATTTTGCAGCAGGAATCCAGCAGCCCAGCTGGATATCCCGCATATCTCTGGTCTGCCGGAGGGGAGATGTAGGATAAAAGTTTCTCTTTCAGCTTTTCCTCCGATTACAAGGCTCCCTTTGCTCAGGGGTCTAGTTGGGTCTAGTCCCCTGTATTCCTAGGGACAATCTGTTGCTTTTGGGTAACTGAGGCTGTGTTGACACAGGCGAAGAATACAGTGAAGACGATGTCAGCGAGCTGATAAAGGAAGAGGAAGTGGAGGAGGAGGAGAAGCAGCAGCCAGACTGGAAGACATGCAAAAAAGACGCTAAAGGAATCGCACCTCGGTGAGCAGCAATTTGCATCAGAGGAAAAAAAGAAAAGGAAGTGTTGCTTTGCTTCCTTTTTAAAATTATGTCCGAAACTGTCATTTTTTTGATAAGGTGTTTTATTAGTAGAAAGTGATGAAGGAGGAGAGCAATTTCACTTATTGCCCTTTTTACTTAACACAAGATTGCTCAGTGTCCGCAGGATGTGGTCAGAAAAATCAACATGGCGACAACAACACACGGTGCTTCAGTCGCCCTGTTCTGGCAGCCATTTTAACTGTTTTAGCCAAACCCTGCAGACGCTCCTGGTTGTTCCCAAGCTCTCACAAATAATCCTTGCAGCCATTTTAGGTTCTTGACTGGTAATTCATTTGCTGATAACGATAGACTTTTTCCCTAGGAAAAGGAAGAAACAACACAGGCTTTTCTTAGATCTGGGTGAAGGAGAATCTTCCAAAGACAATAAAAGTGACGAGGAGGACGGTGAATCGGGAGAAAGTCATAACACGTATATAAACAAAAACGAAGAAAGGAAAAAGGAGGATGCGCTGTGGGCCAGCTTCCTCAGCGATGTTGCCCAGAAACCCAAAGCCGTTTCTGCAGATCAAACTCCCTGCCATCAGAAACACAAGGTAAGGGGGAAACTGTCATTCAGACATCACTGTTTGAAATAGAAAGGGAAACTTCCATTATGGTTTGTTCAAATAGGTATCTCCTTTCTCCAAAGAATATGACTGGATTTCAGCAAATCTCTAATCAAAGATCTCTGAAATCAGTTGAACTGCAGTAGACTGTATTTCTGTCCAGGTATGTTGGCGGGACTCCTTGTATATCCCATTTCACCGTTACAACCAGAAAGTTAGTTTTGTTTAAAAGGATGGATGCTAACCCAACATAGAGACCTTTGTGGACAATAAAAGGGTTAACAATAAAAAGATTTAAGACCATATGAAATTATGTGAATGAAAATAATGTCATTAAGCTGAAATGGTGTCTTTTCATTTCCCCTGGAAAGATTACAGGAATGAAATGAGACCGAGGATTCTGGCAAGTCAGTCCACTCCTGAATGATATTTTAAGCATTGCTACAGGGAGAGCATTGTCATAATTAGGCTTGGCCTGGCTTTGATTGCACCAGTCATTCCCAAATATGAGGGCCACACAGATAAATTTTATGTTTGTTATTTTTAAGGGACAGTAAGCCTACACTTAACAATAAAATAATAAAATAATGAAAGGGGGAAAAATAATGAGACAATAAAACAGCACATAACATTTTTTGTGCAGCTGGCCTTTTTTTTTTTTTTACCAAGTCTCACAACTGCACAAAAATGTTTATATACTGTTTTATTGTCTCGTTATTTTTTCTTCCTTTCTCTAAAAACTAATTGTATTAAATTCTTCTTTTTTAATTGTACTTTTTTAATTATAAAGGCTAGTCAAAGACAGTAATAAAGGTATTTTATTTGATTTGTGAATGAAAATGCAGTTAATTTCCCCTGGAAAGATTATGGGAATAAAAATGAGAACTAGAGTTCTAGCAAATCATTAGTCCACTCTGAATGGTATTTTAAGCACTGCTGCATTGAGAGTATTGTCCTAATTAGGCTAATTGGCTTAAAAAGATCCACACATATCTGTTCTCACAACATGCTGAATTTTATTTTCTGGCCGTGAAGCGTAGCCAATTAATTCAGCACTTTGAGGTGAATGCTGGGTAATGGCCTTAGCAATGGATGCATTAAAAGGGCCTGAGGTACCTCCGGCGCTCAAACAAATGTGTTTTTCCCCCCCCTTTCCTGTTTTGGTTAGACAGCTGCTGAGAAGAATGTGTGCAAGCCTCAAGGGGAACCAAAGGAAACCGAGAGTAACAAAATCACAGTCACCAAAGTGTTTGACTTTGCTGGCGAAGAGGTGAGGTAAGTTTGGCCTGTTCCCTTTGCATTCAACTGCTCCATTCAAACAGCAGCTAACAATTAGAGGGCAACGACCATATTATAAATTGGTTTTTTGCTGCAAAACAGGGACCTTAAAGCGTTTCACAGGACTATAAAACAGCAGAGCTGTGTTAAAACACACATACAATAGGCAAGTAAGTGCCTACGTGGAGTTTCCTCAAAGCTGGTGGTCCCAAAGGGTGTTTTTTCAACAGGCAACTGAACTTTCTTTTTCCTTGAACTGATCACCTTAAATTCTATTTAGAGAAGATAGTGCCAAAGGTTTCTCGGAATTTTCTTTAAAAAGGTTGTAGAGCATCTTGGATGAGAAGCGAAACATCTTCCAGGAAAGTTGCTTTTTGAAAAAGCACCTTTGGGACACCAGCTTTGAGGATGGTTGAGATTCTCCAAAGCTGGTGGGTCAGCCTGCCTGTTTTAGGCTGCTGTCTCAAGTCTCACGAAGAAGACCTTTGAAACCCCGGAGAGAAATTGGGAGACAACCCCGGCCGTTTGTCAGCAATCCTGAAAAGTAACTCAGAGTCTGATGGGCTGGTGTTCAGGGCAAGGGCTGCCTTGTCCTTTAAAGGCCTGGGAAGGAAATGGCAGCCCTCAGTTTGGGGAGCTGAAAGCCCAGAAAACTGCCCAAACCTCCAAAAGATTTTCAGAGCAGCCTCGGTGAGGCAGTCACCACATGGAGAGGTTGAAGATCTGGGACTGAAGAGTGCGTAGGATGTGGCTCTTCCTTAGAGGTTTGGGAAGGAAATTGGGCCAGCGCAGGGAAGCGAAGGTTTTGCATAACAGGAAGGCGTAATTGAGTTATGCGTTAAGCAGAGTTTCCTAAATAAAAGATCGGGACTGGGATTCTGGGAGTTGAAGTCCCCAAGTCATAAAGGGGCCGTCGTTCCCCACCTCTGTTCTAGAGGGACGCTATGCTTCCTCCCTCGATGGCTTTCAAGGAAGAATGAAAGGAATTTTTGAGGATGCTGAAAACGGAGGGGGGGGAGGCAAACACAAGGTCATGCCGAAAGGAAAAACAGATGGGATTAAAACAACATGAGAAAGATCTATTTACCGTAGGAATTGTTTATTTCGTCTTTATCTCCCATGCGGTTATTAAACTCAAGAATTGCTTTTCACACAAATTCCCCCTGATAGTGCGAAACCGGCATTCCGAAGCCAGGATCTGGGTTTGTAACTGGAAAATGATTTATGTTTTTGAGATTAACCATTGCTTTTTTTTTTTTTTTTTTTGCCTTGACCTTTTCACTGTGTGCTCTGTGTGTCTGCAAATCCCTTCCTTGGCGGTTATCCATTCCTTCGTGAAAAGGAAATGCTAATTTGCTCCTTCAAGCAAAACCGTTTGATAAGCAGCAAAACTGGCTGCTTCTTTTTTTAGTTTCCTGGAGAAAATTTATTCGTTCTTGCCTGCCTTTTTGGAATTCAAGCCAAGGGTAGAGATTTGTTCAGTCAAACCTTTCTGCCTGACGCTTCTGGCAGCTATTCATCGTTTTATAAATTGGGGGGAAACTTTAATGCCTAGAACAGCTTTATAATTTCTTTAGGGGAGGGGGCTGATTATTGGGTAGTTGCTGTGCATTTTAACGGAAGGAATGGCCTCTGCTTTAAGGTCCTCGTTTCCTTTCTGTCTTTCCTCCCTCTGGCAGGGTCAGCAAGGAAGTCGATCCCGCTTCGAAGGAAGGCCAGCAGTTTCTGAAGGAGCAGGAGCCGAAGGTGGCAACCCAGACATCGCATCCAACTATTTCGGGGTAAGATCCTGGGAAACTCTGTCCGTGCAGCGCAGGTCGCACGAACGCTGGGAGGGGATTGCCACGGCTTCTTTAGAACCAGCGGGAATTGGCTGACTCTTTTGGACGACACCGACAGGGAAGTTCCTTCTTTCTCACCCAACCTAGGAAGGGAATGGATGAATGCCCTGGAGCAGCCCCCTGGCAGGGGAGGGAGAACTCACCCTGGTATTGTCATCCGTCCCAACTTGGTTGGTTAGACAAGAAAGACTGGCCAAAGCCCATGAGTCTCTGGAAATCCCGTTGGCACATGGAGCGCAGAGTCTGCACTGAATAAATTCCTGTCCCGGCACCAGCCACCAGAGGGCGCAAGACCTCTCCTGGTCCTCTGAGCCTTTAAGCTATTGTCCAGGTCAGGGGTAGTCAACCTTGGCTCTTTTATGACTTGTGGACTTCAACTCCCAGAATTCCTGAGCCAGCTAAGCTGGCTCAGGAATTCTGGGAATTGAAGTCCACAAGTCATAAAAGAGCCAAGGTTGACTACCCCTGGTCCAGGTGAAGTCACAAGCCCTCCATTGCAGATCTCTTTTGTCAAGCTACAGTGGAGTTCTGTGCCTCGGTGTGTCCATCCCCTGCACAATTTTCCAAAGCCCCTGAAGGCAGGACAAGAAACAGTGGGTGGAAACTGATCAAGGAGAGAAGCAACCTGGAATTAAGGAGAAACTTCCTAACAGGGAGGACAATGAATCAGTGGAAAGGCTTGCTGTCAGAGGTTGTAGGTGCTCCATCACTGGAGGTTTTTAAGAAGAGACTGGACAGTCACCTGTCTGAAATGGTATAAGGTCTTCTGCTTGAGCCAAGGGGGTTGGACTAGAACAGAGGTCCCCGACCTTTTGGGCACCAGGGACCGGTTCCATGGAGAAAGGTTTTTCCATGGACCAGAGGGGGCATGGTTTTGTGTGCTGCTTGCATCCCGCAGATGGGGCTTTGCTTGTTTGTGTGGACCAGTTGCTGGCATGCCGTGGCCCGGTACCGGTCCAGAGACCGGCGGTTGGGGACCCCTGGATTAGAAGACCTTCCAACTCTATTCTGAACTGAATTGAATTGGTTATATCTGGTGAAAAGAAGGAGTTGAAGTCCACAAGTCTTAAAGTCACCCAGGTTAGACACCCTTGATTTAGTGCGTTCGGCTTCGTGTTGCAACTCCTTGACGCCTTTCCAAACCTGGGCCAGGAGTAGAAATTCTCCAGGGGAAGGCTGACTCGTTCAAGCAGTAGCAGCAGGGGAGGAAGAGGGAAACCGTGCCGAGCATCTGTCCTTCATTAAGCTGCTCGGGGCTTTGTGGAAACTGGGAGCGCAGCTGCAAAGCACAGATCCGCCGTCACCAGCCAAAAGGGGAGTTGGAAGCCGTGCCGGACGATGCGCCTGGGAACCAAATCCAGCTCCTGTGCTTAGAGGCCTTTTTCTGGGAGACGCGATGCTAGAGCCCAAGGAGAAGCCCCAGAGCAGGGGGTTTGAGCCACCCTGACTTTGAGCAGCTCTGAAAGGTAGAGCCGGTGCTGGGTTCAGCCCGTGCGCTGGTAGAAGGGATACAGGTAGTCCTCGGTTTAGTGACTGTTCACAGTTACAACGGCACAGAAAAACGTGATCTTGGCTGGTATTCACACACACGGCCGTTGCTGCAGCGGTCACGTGATCAAAATTCGGGTGCTTGGCAACCGGCATGACAGCTGTACTGTCCCAAGGTCACGTGATCACCATTTGTAACCTTCAAACAAGCGAAGTCAAGGGAGGGAGGCAGATTTGCTGAGGACTGCCTGCAACCGATGCTTTGTAATGGAAGGGGGGGAAAAACGGGTCCTCCTCCTCCAGCTGTCAGTTCTTTGAGAGCAAAGCGGATGTTGAGTGCTAAATTCCTCACTGGGGGCGTGAAGGGCCAGGGAGTCTGGCCACCTAGGATGAGATCCTGGGAAAGGTCGCTGGGATGCCCTTCACCCCTGAGAGCTGCGTCCAGGGTGGCCACTGGATTCCTCATCCAGACAAGCCCCGTTTCCCATCTGGAAGAGGAGAGCCTTGCTTTCTACAGGTCAGAAGCCCCCCTGTCTTCCTTCTTGCTGTGAATGAAGACTGCAGATGCGGTGTCAAACGTCCCAGCTTGGTCAGACCCACGGTTAGGGAAAGTACACTTTACTAAAGGCAAGTGGTTAGAGTAGAGTAGAGTAGAGTAGAGTAGAGTAGAGTAGAGTAGAGTAGAAATAAGGAATAGAATAGAATAGAATAGAATAGAATAGAATAGAATAGAATAGAATAGAAATAAGGAATAGAATAGAATAGAATAGAATAGAATAGAATAGAAATAAGAAATAGATTAGAATAGAATAGAAATAAGGAATAGAATAGAATAGTAGGATAGGATAGGATGGATTATAGGTTGTAGGTCAAGGCCTATGTGTATTTTGGAGTGGAAAAGTGTTATTTTGGCACTCGGAGGAAGAGAGGAAATAAACGTTTCTCAACATTTAGCCAGTCTGCTCATCTGAAGACAGACCTCATTCCTTTAAACTTTGCATCTGGTTCATGAGCAGCTGCGGGATGGAGAAAGAGTGACTGAGCCCTGAAACCAGGCTTGGACAAAATCTCTTTCTTTCCTCGGCTGATTCATTAAAACAGCCTGAACTTTGGGCATGTGCTCCTCACGGCTTTCCGTCTTATTTCATCTGCTTAAGAATGCCAGTCATTTCCTTTCCAGATTTTCAGGATGGCCCCAGGTCAGTAGAAAGGAAGTTCTCCCAGGAATGCAAAATAAACTACTGTACAGGTCTAAGCCTCTGCTAATGGAGGGCGCAGCTTTGCGCTTCACGGATTTTGTGATGGATCCGCAGCGGGCCCTGTGCGAATGTGTGCTGTGCTTTCTGTCTAGCCTCAGGGCTACACGGTTGTCACTTAGGGGATGGGATTTCTCACTAGCGGGTGGTTACACTTCATTGCCCCAGTTGTGCTGAAGAATTGGTGACAAGGCTATTTGGCAAGCAGCAGGGAGCCTGTTTTACTGCAGGAGCCCACAGAAATGGCAGGCTAGGTTTGTTTGTCCTGCATTTCGAGCGCTTTGCATTTTGTATTAAGCCTGTCCGGTGGGATTAGGAGCCCACTTGTTGGATGCAATTTGATAACTGCAATTTAAGTTGCTTAAAATCTTGTTGCCGTTTCACAAAGATGCCGGAAACCAAAAAGAGGATACCCTGGATGGACAGGTAGACTTTTGACATTGAAGAGTGGTAGGAAGTTAGAAGAACAAAGTCGGAAGGGGCCTTGAAGGTCATCTAGTCAACCCTTGCTCAAGCAGGAGACCCCGTGCCATGTTGAATCTCTTAAAAAGTTTCAGTGATGGAGCACCACAGCTCACAACTTCTGAAGGCAAGCCATTTCACTGGCTAACTGTCCTCACTGCCAGGAAATTCCTCCTTAATTCTAGGTTGCTCCTCTCCTTGATTATTTATTTATTTATTTATTTATTGCTTATATTTATATCCCGCCCTTCTCCTTGCGGACTCAGGGCGGCTAACAACCAGATAAAAATACAAAATACCAAACTACAGATTAAAACATGATTAAAAGACGAATATTAATAATTGGTCTAAGTAATTTAAAATTATTTTAAAACCCCCACTAAAAATTTCCCCTAGGCCAGNAAGATCCTGGGAAACTCTGTCCGTGCAGCGCAGGTCGCACGAACGCTGGGAGGGGATTGCCACGGCTTCTTTAGAACCAGCGGGAATTGGCTGACTCTTTTGGACGACACCGACAGGGAAGTTCCTTCTTTCTCACCCAACCTAGGAAGGGAATGGATGAATGCCCTGGAGCAGCCCCCTGGCAGGGGAGGGAGAACTCGCCCTGGTATTGTCATCCGTCCCAACTTGGTTGGTTAGACAAGAAAGACTGGCCAAAGCCCATGAGTCTCTGGAAATCCCGTTGGCACATGGAGCGCAGAGTCTGCACTGAATAAATTCCTGTCCCGGCACCAGCCACCAGAGGGCGCAAGACCTCTCCTGGTCCTCTGAGCCTTTAAGGCAGCTATTGTCCAGGTCAGGGGTAGTCAACCTTGGCTCTTTTATGACTTGTGGACTTCAACTCCCAGAATTCCTGAGCCAGCTAAGCTGGCTCAGGAATTCTGGGAGTTGAAGTCCACAAGTCATAAAAGAGCCAAGGTTGACTACCCCTGGTCCAGGTGAAGTCACAAGCCCTCCATTGCAGATCTCTTTTGTCAAGCTACAGTGGAGTTCTGTGCCTCGGTGTGTCCATCCCCTGCACAATTTTCCAAAGCACCTGAAGGCAGGACAAGAAACAGTGGGTGGAAACTGATCAAGGAGAGAAGCAACCTGGAATTAAGGAGAAACTTCCTAACAGGGAGGACAATGAATCAGTGGAAAGGCTTGCTGTCAGAGGTTGTAGGTGCTCCATCACTGGAGGTTTTTAAGAAGAGACTGGACAGTCACCTGTCTGAAATGGTATAAGGTCTTCTGCTTGAGCCAAGGGGGTTGGACTAGAAGAGAGGTCCCCGACCTTTTGGGCACCAGGGACCGGTTCCATGGAGAAAGGTTTTTCCGTGGACCAGAGGGGGCATGGTTTTGTGTGCTGCTTGCATCCCGCAGATGGGGCTTTGCTTGTTTGTGTGGACCAGTTGCTGGCATGCCGTGGCCCGGTACCGGTCCAGAGACCGGCGGTTGGGGACCCCTGGACTAGAAGACCTTCCAACTCTATTGTGAACTGAATTGAATTGGGTATATCTGGTGAAAAGAAGGAGTTGAAGTCCACAAGTCTTAAAGTCACCCAGGTTAGACACCCTTGATTTAGTGCGTTCAGCTTCGTGTTGCAACTCCTTGACGCCTTTCCAAACCTGGGCCAGGAGTAGAAATTCTCCAGGGGAAGGCTGACTCGTTCAAGCAGTAGCAGCAGAGGAGGAAGAGGGAAACCGTGCCGAGCATCTGTCCTTCATTAAACTGCTCGGGGCTTTGTGGAAACTGGGAGCGCAGCTGCAAAGCACAGATCCGCCGTCACCAGCCAAAAGGGGAGCTGGAAGCCGTGCCGGACGATGCGCCTGGGAACCAAATCCAGCTCCTGTGCTTAGAGGCCTTTTTCTGGGAGAAGCGATGCTAGAGTCCAAGGAGAAGCCCCAGAGCAGGGGGTTTGAGCCACCCTGACTTTGAGCAGCTCTGAAAGGTAGAGCCGGTGCTGGGTTCAGCCCGTGCGCTGGTAGAAGGGATACAGGTAGTCCTCGGTTTAGTGACTGTTCACAGTTACAACGGCACAGAAAAACGTGATCTTGGCTGGTATTCACACACACGGCCGTTGCTGCAGCGGTCACGTGATCAAAATTCGGGTGCTTGGCAACCGGCATGACAGCTGTACTGTCCCAAGGTCACGTGATCACCCTTCGTAACCTTCAAACAAGCGAAGTCAAGGGAGGGAGGCAGATTTGTCGAGGACTGCCTGCAACCGGTGCTTTGTAATGGGAGGGGGGAAAAAACGGGTCCTCCTCCTCCAGCTGTCAGTTCTTTGAGAGCAAAGCGGATGTTGAGTGCTAAATTCCTCACTGGGGGCGTGAAGGGCCAGGGAGTCTGGCCACCTAGGATGAGATCCTGGGAAAGGTCGCTGGGATGCCCTTCACCCCTGAGAGCTGCGTCCAGGGTGGCCACTGGATTCCTCATCCAGACAAGCCCCATTTCCCATCTGGAAGAGGAGAGCCTTGCTTTCTACAGGTCAAAAGCCCCCCTGTCTTCCTTCTTGCTCTGAATGAAGACTGCAGACGCGGTGTCAAACGTCCCAGCTTGGTCAGACCCACGGTTAGGGAAAGTACACTTTACTAAAGGCAAGTGGCTAGAGTAGAGTAGAGTAGAGTAGAGTAGAGTAGAATAGAATAGAATAGAATAGAATAGAATAGAATAGAATAGAATAGAATAGAATAGAATAGAATAGAATAGAATAGAATAGTATAGAAAAAAGAATAGAATAGAGTAGAGTAGAGTAGAATAGAAATAAGTAGAATAGAAATAAGGAATAGAATAGAATAGAATAGAATAGAGAAAGAATAGAATAGAATAGAATAGAAATAAGGAATAGAATAGAATAGAAATAAGTAGAATAGAATAGAATACAAGGATAGGATAGGATAGGATGGATTATAGGTTGTAGGTCAAGGCCTATGTGTATTTTGGAGTGGAAAAGTGTTATTTTGGCACTCGGAGGAAGAGAGGAAATAAACGTTTCTCAACGTTTAGCCAGTCTGCTCATCTGAAGACAGACCTCATTCCTTTAAACTTTGCATCTGGTTCATGAGCAGCTGCAGGATGGAGAAAGAGTGACTGAACCCTGAAACCAGGCTTGGACAAAATCTCTTTCTTTCCTCGGCTGATTCATTAAAACAGCCTGAACTTTGGGCATGTGCTCCTTACGGCTTTCCGTCTTATTTCATCTGCTTAAGAATGCCAGTCATTTCCTTTCCAGATTTTCAGGATGGCCCCAGGTCAGTAGAAAGGAAGTTCTCCCAGGAATGCAAAATAAACTACTGTACAGGTCTAAGCCTCTGCTAATGGAGGGCGCAGCTTTGCGCTTCACGGATTTTGTGATGGATCCGCAGCGGGCCCTGTGCGAATGTGTGCTGTGCTTTCTGTCTAGCCTCAGGGCTACACGGTTGTCACTTAGGGGATGGGATTTCTCACTAGCGGGGAGCCAAGCCGACGGCTCCTGCCTGGTTACACTTCATTGCCCCAGTTGTGCTGAAGAATTGGTGACAAGGCTATTTGGCAAGCAGCAGGGAGCCTGTTTTACTGCAGGAGCCCACAGAAACGGCAGGCTAGGTTTGTTTGTCCTGCATTTCGAGCGCTTTGCATTTTGTATTAAGCCTGTCCGGTGGGATTAGGAGCCCACTTGTTGGATGCAATTTGATAACTGCAATTTAAGTTGCTTAAAATCTTGTTGCCGTTTCACAAAGATGCCGGAAACCAAAAAGAGGATACCCTGGATGGACAGGTAGACTTTTGACATTGAAGAGTGGTAGGAAGTTAGAAGAACAAAGTCGGAAGGGGCCTTGAAGGTCATCTAGTCAACCCTTGCTCAAGCAGGAGACCCCGTGCCATTTCATACAAGCAGCTGACGAATCTCTTAAAAAGTTTCAGTGATGGAGCCCCACAACTCACAACTTCTGAAGGCAAGCCATTTCACTGGTTAATTGTTCTAACTGTCAGGAAGTTTCTCCTTAGTTCTAGGTTGCTTCTCTCCTTGATTAGTTTCCATCCGTTGCTTCTTGTCCTGCCTTCAGGCGCTTTGGAGAATAGCTTGACTCCCTCTTCTTTGGGGCAGGCCCTGAGATGTTGGAACACTCATGTCTCTCCTAGTCCTTCATTAAACTAGACCTACCCAATTCCTGCCGTCATTCTTCATATGTTTCAGCCTCCAGTCCCCTGATCATCTTTGTTGCTCTTCCCTGCGCTCTTTCTAGAGTCTCAGCATCTTTTTTACATCGTGGTGACCAAAGCTGGATGCAGCTGGAGAGATGGGCCTGTCCGTCACCTCGAAGTCGTCTTATCTTCTGCTTTGCCTTTGCAGAGTGAAGCGGCCTAGCAGTATGAACAGCCTTCTGGGGAAGATGGGTGCCAAAAAGCAGAAAATGAGCACGCTGGAGAAGTCCAAGCTGGACTGGGAGACCTTCAAAGAAGAAGAAGGCATCGGCGATGAGCTGGCCATCCACAACCGAGGGAAAGATGGGTAAAAAGTTCTGTTCCCTTGGCAACTGCTGGATGAGTGACACTTGTTGCTCTTGCTCCCAGAAGCAGCAGCAGCATTCTTTCCCCAGGTTTTTTTTTTTTTTTTTTAAATATTTGCGAGCTTCCTCAAGAACCTTGATGGGGACTCTCTGCCTCCTCCCTGCAGGTACCTGGAGAGACGAGCCTTCCTGGAAAGAGTGGATTACCGTCAGTTTGAGCACGAGCGAGATATCCGCCTGAGCAACATGAAACCCTGAACATGGGCAGAGTCCGACGCTCCGAGTCCAGCCATCCCCAGCATGGCCTCTCCGGGTCTTCTCTCCCACTGCAATAGCCAATAGGTGAACTGAGGTCCCGGGCAGCCGGTTTGCCAGGCAAGGGGCAGCTCCGGGCAGCAGATAGTTGTTAGCTGGGCACGTCGTCCTGCGGCCCGTTTCTCGGCTGGGGAAGGGGCTGCCAGGCTGATTTCACAGCTGCCACGTTTTTGGTAACCCAGCTGCGGAATTGCTCCCGTGCCCGCCTGCTTGTGCCCGTCGCCCGGGCGCTGGTTCTGCATGACATCAGCCCTGGGATCCCCACATTTGCTGGCGCCAGTGGCCTCTTGTGCCACTGAAAAGCTCTCTCTCTCACACACACACACTTCACTGGACCAGTCTCAGACTCTGGGGAGTAAAGTAGCCCCCCAGCCTGCATTCCTAAGAGACTTTCCCATTCAGGAGTCTCCCAGCTTCCTTCTTTTTTTTTCTAATGCCTTTTCCCAGGTTCTTTTTTTTTTTAAAGCAGCCCCTCTGAGCATTCACGCCCTGCAGAAATGTTGGACGAGCAGCAGCCTGCGGGGGAGGGAGGGAAGCCAGCATCCCCTTTCTTCCTTTGAATAAACTGTTAAATCGGTTCTGGCAAGTCTGTCGTTCTTCCCCTCTTGGCCAAGGACGTCAGGCAGGCCTCCAGCGACACAAGAGGGACCCCACTTCCCCCCCCCCCAAAAAAAGGTGCTTTGCAAGCTCATTCTCTCTTTCTCTCCTGCTCTTTTGTCCTGGGAGGGGCAGCCTCGAAAGCGGCCGTAAGGGTTGTGTGCTGGTACAGGTAGTCCTTGATTTATGACCGCCGTTGAGCCCCAAATTTCCATGGGCTAAGCCGGTTTTGTTAAGTGAGTTTTGCCCCATTTTATGACCTTTCTTCCCACAGTTATTAAGTGAATCCCTGCAGGTGTTAAGTTAGTGAGACGGCTGTTACGTGAATCTCTCTTGCCCCATTGACTTTGCACGTCAGAAAGTTACAAATGGGGGTCACGTGACACCCCCCCCCGGGACGCTGCGACGGCCGTGTGAGCCAGTTGCCAAAGCATCCGATTTTTCATCACGTGACCCTGGGCCTGCTGCAAGGTCATACGTGTGGGAAATGGTCATCGGCCACTTTTTTCACTTCCATTGTAACTTCACGAATGGTTATAAGTCAAGGGCTGCCTGTAGTTGAATCCCTAAAGAGTTTTTCCTTCACTTAGTCCTCGGGGGAAATTCATGGGAGGCTCCCTTAAACATCTTATTGGAAACTTGGCTTTGTATTTTTAGTATCTAATTTATCTATCATGTTTTGTCTCCAATTGTCTGTTGTTCTGTACCCTAACCTGTCTGTCCCAGCCTCAATCTCATCCCGTCCATCTATTAATCAATGTCTTTGCAGCACACAGGATCAAGAAGAGATCCCTTGCTGGGCCACGGTGACAGGAGACCTTCTTGTATCAGTCTAAAGGGGGAAAGAGTATCACTGTACGCATTTTAATGAAATAAGTGACTTCAGTAAAAATTAGCATTTTTAAAACAAAATGGATCGAGTGGTCTCTTCAATCCTGGAGGATGCTTTTCCTTAAGTGTAAATGAAGTCAGAATTTATTCTCATTTCTGCCTGGGGAAAATGAATTTATTCTCATTTCTGCCTGGGGAAAATGAAAAGGATGCATTCTGGAAAAGGATGCATTCTGCATTCCAGGCTCTGTGGCAGTTCCCTTTAGGAAGAAAAGAGTGCATCGGCTACTATAATTTTTTTAGGGTTATTTTTAGCCTCTAGCCTAGATGTTAAGCCTATCTGTGACCCCCAAAAACCGTCATGCTGAAATGTGTGTTGATAGCTAGTCTGGTTTCTAGAAAGTGCAGGGCAGAGGGAAAGAGAGAGAGAAACATCCACTCGAGCAATCTCTTTATAAAAGGGAAGAAGATAAGAACAGCCACGGCATGTTAGCCTGACTTCGGAATCTATGAAGATACAATAAGAAAACAATTAATTGCCAAGTGCCCAGAGGGAAATTAGGCGATTACAGGCTGCCAGCATGCTTTTATTAGAAACTAATTATGTTAGGCCAGTTTAGTTCCCTTCTTTGATAAAATAATTGGTTCGGTGGAAAAAAACATGTGAGATAAAGAGCAAAGCCTTCACGAACACTTAGTCCCTCGTGAGGCCCTCCGCAGAGGCCCGCGTTAAGTAGGTCAGAAGAAGTGAGGCAACAGCTGTAAAACGGAGGCAACTTCAGCGAAAAGCAGTTCTTAGCCATAAAAAGAAAAGGTAAATATTCTCAAGGTTAGAGGCTAAAATTGCACTTTACGCTGTTATAGCTGATCGGTTCATGGCTGATGGAAGACACCACAGTCGGTCAACCTTGTACTTACTCTTCACGAAGGCCTAGTTTACAAGCCAGTGGAGAAAATTCCTGTGGCATCGCAGGTAATTATGGTTAGTTTACAACCTTGGCTACTTCCAAACCACTTAGTCTCATTACTGACTTGTAAACAAAAATAAATGCTAGCCTTTGATATGAAGGTACACAGGGTGAGGTGGCTGCTGAATCCACAGGTGAGCAGCCTCAGGTAAGGGGCTGCCTTTGATGGACTCAGCAAGTTCTTCTATTCTTTAGTCAGGAATGCAGAACAGGTTTAAAAAAGGGCTTTTATCTCTATGGCCACCATATATGGGATTTGCAAGACAGGGTTAAAAATGCAGGAAACTGTTAGCTGAACAACCAGCTGCAGGTTCTAGATCAGGGGTGTCAAACTGCCAGCCCGTGGGATGGTTGCATCACGTGCCAACCCCAGCTCCGGCAATGTGAAAAAAATCGTGATACGTTGCGACACTTCACGTGACACGGCGTGTTTGACACCTGTGTTCTAGATTATCAGTAAAAAGACCTGCCTCCTTCCTGGGTCATAGAGAGGCTGCTTGAAGAAAAATCTGAAAGTCACAACTTTCGTGTAATATGTTGGTTCTAAATAGGAAGTAGGTCAGCCTTCCGTCCTCCCAAGGTGGGTAAAATGAGAACCCAGATTGTTGGGGGCAAGAGGCTGACTCTGTAAACTGCTTAGAGAGGGCTGCAAACACTGTGAAGTGGTATATAAGTCTTAAGTGCTGTTGCTATCAGAGTGAAGGCAGCTGGATTGGGTGCTTAGGTAGCCACTGGAAGCTGCTAGGGAGGGTCCATCCTTGCCCTCTTCCTGCCCACCAGACTTTCCAAGCTCCACTGTCTTTTTGCCCTCTGGGGGAAAAGTCTCCACCCCTTCCTGTGACTCCAGATTATATTCCACTACATCATCCCAGTTCCACTTTTCCTTTCCTTGACTACCTCCCATTTCCCACCTCTGTGCAACAGGTCAGGTTCACCCTGTGGATCTGCCTGATTTTTCTTGATTTTTGTATATCCTCATTATTCGAATTTGTTCTTGTCCTTGTCCAATTCAGAGGGTTGGATTTGATGGCTTAAATGTTCTCTTCTCCTCCCTGACTCTTGGCATATTTTCCTAATATAGAATAAGCTAAAATGAGAATCAAAAAGTACATTTTGCTGATATGCTCCAGAGTGATCTGTGTGTTCCTGCTGTCTCCTGCCTGCATTGTTAATGCAGCTTTAAATTAGGACACAAATCCCTTCTCTGAACTTATTTCAGATGCAGAACACAATCAAAGCTACCAGTTGGCACACATTCATAATTGCCTGTGACTGCAACTCGATTGTGGCTGTGCATTTTCTCCTTTCAGTTAAGGTCTGGAAATATATTACTTTCAAATATTTATGAATGGATGAACGATACTGTTTGCAAGTTGAAACAAAAGGAAATCTTATGTCGTAAACAGGCACCTGGAATGGATTTATCTTAGTACTGCTTTATAAAGTCTTAGTAAGACCAAACGTAGAATACTGCATCCAGTTTGGTCACCATATTATTAAAAAAGATGTTGAGACTCTGGAAAGAGTGCAGAGAAGAGCAACAAAGATGATTAGGAGACTGGAGGCTCAAACATATAAAGAACAGTTGCTGGAATTGGGTATGTCTATAGGCCCTTCTTAACAATTGTGTCAAACTCATTGACAGGTTATTTCTACATATATTTGCTCAATTTGCTCCATTTCCCCAATGTTAGCAAATATTTGGCCAAGGTATTCAATCCATCTACTTGCACTAATTTTTCACTTCTACTATATCACTTGGTGTTTTTCCCCCCAGCAACCAGTTAACACAGTTGTCCCCTTTGCAAACTTTTTTTTTTTGTATTTTGATTACTTCTGCAGTTATCTCGTTGCAAAATACAGAGAAGTGCAAATATTAAACAATAATTCGATTTGCACAATTAGTTCAAGAACGAAGGGAAAAATGTATTGAGATGCTAACTAACTTAATTTCTGCCTCGTCCCTAGCAATGATCACCCTGAAATTAGCATTTATTTAAACGGTGAGATCAATTAACTACATTGCCATTTTTTTAAAGAGTTATTTGGGGACCGAGGTTGGCTGTCTTAGGTAGATACAGGGGAGATGTAGGATGTTATTTATTATACATTTTATAGAAATTACAGTTGATGGTGGTTTTTTTTAATTTCGTAAGGCAATTTATTATATTGTACAGCATATATAACACATTTCAGGGTGCAAGGAAGCGGCTTTGAAGTGGCAGGAAAGTGTTGTATTTAATAGTAAATGCAGTTTGTGACCAGCAAGTAGAAAAGTAAATATAAAGTAGAATAAAATACAAACATTATATACATGAAGAAAAAAAATAGTAAAAAAGAGGTAAAACTATAGAATAAAAGACAACTGGTAAGAAAGTATAAGCAACATCAGAGTATAAATAATATTTTCCTTCTGAGTATTTTTTTTCTTCTGTTCAATCATGTCCAACTCTCAGAGATTGCCTGACTAAATCAGTTTTCTTGCATTGACAATTTTTTTTTCAGAAGTGGTTAGCCATTGCATCCTTCCTAGGACTGAGAAACGGCGACTGGTCCAAAGTCACCCAGCAGGCCTTGGGCTCAACATCAGACTAGAACTCACGGTCTCCTGGTTTCCAGCCTGGTGCCTTAACTGCTAAGTCCTCTTTAACTGAGAGAAAAGTTAAGGTCTCCCCTGTCTGGTTGTGTCTGACTTTGGGGGGGGGGGTGTTGCTTATCTCCGTTTCTTAGCTGAGGAAGCCAGCATTGTCTGAAGACATTTCTATGGTCATTTGGCCAGCATGACTATACGCTGAGATGCACAGGATGCTGTTTACCTTCCCACCAGAGTGGTTCCTATTGATCTACTTGCATTTTCATGCTTTCAGACTGCTAGGTGGGCAGGAACTGGAGCAGGAACGGGAACTCACCCCGTCAAG